CTCCGCTAGTTCGAATTAAGTTCGAACTAGCGGAGCGCTTGTGTAGCGCCTATCAAAGTTAATTCGAACTAACGTCCATTAGTTCAAATTAACTTTGTAGTGTAGACATACCCAGGAAGATTTTCTGGCTGCCTCTCAGTTAATTTATCTGCTTGCAGGGTCTTTGTCTGCCTCAAATTGTCATGGATCTTAAATTGTCGTTTTGGTTGGATATTTCTCATTCACACCTCACATACATTCCACAGGCTACATACAAGTCATAAGCAAAATGGTTTCTAAGCAAAGTGGGGCCTCATGGCCTGGAGTACAACAAATTGCATTGTACTGAAGATAACATACCAAAGGCATGATAAAAAGCTTCACAAATTATAACTAAGAAAGCCAAGGTCAGGGAAGAAGGGAAAAGCAGAGGAGTAGGTCTGGTCAAGCATTCAGACCCACACAGCAGGCAGCAGCCCTGAACTTGCTGCTAGAGCCGAGCTCACCATGCGGTGACTGTCTCACCCAGGGAGCTGGAGAGCCAACTCAGCCTGGCTGGGGAAGCCTCCCAGCAAACTCCACAACTGGGAATCAACAGTGGAGACATAAACCCAGCTGAGGGATCCTGCCTTCAGGTCCCTAGAGGCTAGCTCTCAGGGGAACCCTGCATGCAGGCCTGGGGCTTACTAGCTCCCACACAGCCAGGCCTCCCCTTTCCCTGGCTGGCTCCAGACTCCCCTCAACAATGGTCTCTCCTTCCCCCTGGGAGGGACATCTCACTCCCCATGGGTTGCCGGGCAGACTCTGGCCCTGGTAGGGAGGGGGACCAAGGCAAACTCAGAGTGCCTCTCCCTGAGCTGCCAGCAGACAAGGCCCCGGGAATCCAAGCAATCTCCTTGGGGGTTACAAATGTATATACCTGGAGCTTTAAAAGGGCCAGTTCTAGGAAGCTTGAAATAATGAAGAGCCAAATCAGCAAAAAGGAAGAATTTAATTTAAAAAACTGAGAAATAAAATTGGGGATTGATTAAGAACACTATACTAGAAACCCCAAGCCCATAACTGTGAGGAAGGAGGTATTGGTAAAAATTCCCACCTGGTTTAGAAAGGAAGCGAAGGCAGCTACGCAATTATATCTGTAGAATGAATGGAAAAAGGCATGTGTGTCACATGATGTGACCTCCCCATCTAGAGTGCCACCTGATATGCTGGGGTCCCACTGAACCCTCCCGCTCTACCAGCCTGGGCTTCCTCACTTTGTCCTTGGTTTGCCAAGCCCTCAATCCTTCTCTATCACACACACAGATAAGGCCACACCCATCTGCAGTCATAGACTGAAATCAGCTCTGTGGGGGAAGATTCAGCTTAGAGGTTTATCCAGCACTCCCATGCACACCTCTGTAACCAGTCGGACACGACCCCCCCCCTTCCTCCTCTTCACTGGTTTCTAGCTGACCAGACCTACTCCTCTGCTTTTCCCTTCTTCCCTGACCTTGGCTTTCTTAGTTATAATTTGTGAAGCTTTTTATCATGCCTTTGGTATGTTATTTTCAGTACAATGCAATTTGTTGTACTCCAGGCCATGAGGCCCCACTTTGCTTAGAAACCATATTGCTTATGACTTGTATGTAGCCTGTGGAATGTATGTGAGGTGTGAATGAGAAATATCCAACCAAAAAGACAATTTAAGATCCATGACAATTTGAGGCAGACAAAGACCCTGCAAGCAGATAAATTAACTGAGAAGCAGCCAGAAAATCTTCCTGGGTATGTCTACACTACAAAGTTAATTTGAACTAACGGACGTTAGTTCGAATTAACTTTGATAGGCGCTACACAGGCAAACCGCTAGTTCAAACTTAATTCGAACTAGCGGAGCGCTTAGTTCGAACTAGGTAAACCTCATTCTACGAGGACTAAACCTAGTTCGAACTTACTAGTTCGAATTAAGGGGTATGTAGCCCTTAATTCGAACTAGTGGGAGGCTAGCCCTCCCCATCTTTCCCTGGTGGCCACTCTGGCCAACACCAGGGAAACTCTATTGCCCTCCTCCCGGCCCCGGACTCCTTAAAGGGGCACGGGCTGGCTACGGTGCCCGTGCCAGGTGCAAGCCTGCCAGCATCCAGCTAGCAGACCCTGCACCTGGCACGGTTCGAGCCAGCCACCCGATGCCCCCCAGCCCTCCCCCTCTTCCTGGGACCAGGCTGGCGGGGCCCCGGGGGCC